GTTTGGGTTCTCTGCTCCTGGACAACCTTCCCAGGCACAATTCCCTGGGCTCTCTGTCCCATGGTGGGATGGGAACCCCCCGGGAAGGGGCTCTTAGCCCAGAGCCTTAGCAGTGGGAATGTTGGGAATTGCTGCAGACAGGGGGTGATTCCCCCCTGAGCTGTCCTGCTGAGCCATCTCTGCAGGCAGGGCGAGGTGCCCACGCTGGGCCATCCACCTGAGACACACCCACCTATGGCCTGGAACAGCATTTATGGGTGTTATCCACCAGGGATGGTTGGGAATGGAGCTGTGCACATCCTGCTTCCCCAAAAATGGGAAAGGGCAGGGGAGAGGCTCCTCACAAACCCCCCATGCCATGGATCCCGTGCCACTGGTGGCCCCACAGGCTGCCTGTCCCTCAGCATGTCCGTGGCCAACTTCCAGCTGGGACATGTGCTGGGCAGGAGGGGGGAATAAACCTGCTGGATATGCCACAACTCCTGTGCAGTGGGAATTTTGGGCACTGCTGCAGACAGGGGGATGATTTCCCCCCCTGAGCTGTCCCCTCCAGGCAGGGCGAGGTGCCCATCCATCTCAGACACACCCACTGATGGCCTGGAACAGCATTTATTCACTGCTAGACAAAGACATTGGTGGCAGCACATCAGGCCCAGGAGATGATGGGGAGAGATTTGGGGCCTGGCTGATGTTAGTGACACCTGGCTGGGCTGGAACAGGTTTTAGTGATGGCTTTGTGAGAGGTAAATACCTGTATTCTCCACAAATGGGATTGCTTTTTGACAGGGGCCCTTCATTTCACTCTGCCATCCTCCTTCCTGTAAGAAATAAGGGTATTTTCTGTTATTGAGGGTCTGCCTGCACTGTCAGTGCTTGGAGAGGGAAATAACTGCTTATTCTGTGCTGGTTCTGCCTCATTCCTGTCAAATCCTGGCCAGCCCGGGGGTGCTCCAGTGTCCAACAACGGGAGTCAGGGAGGAATGAAGGGATCTCACGCTGCAAACCCACACTGGGAACGTGGTCAAGGCTGATTTAGTGCCTTGGGGGGTCCCAAAAAGCACAACCCACATAAAGAGAGAAGATGCTGCCCCTGGTACCCAAAACTGTGCCCTGGGCTGATCCCACAGTGTGGGCAGAGTGAGGGGGGATCCTGCCCCTCTGTCCCCTCAGGTGAGACCCCCCTGCAGAGCTGCTCCAGCCCTGGGAACAGCACAGGGGGGACGTGGAGCTGCTGGAGAGAGTCCAGAGGAGCCATGGGATGCTCCAAGGGCTGGAGCCCCTCTGGAGCCAGGCTGGGAGAGCTGGGGGGGTTCCCCTGGAGAAGAGAAGGCTCCAGGGAGAGCTGAGAGCCCCTGGCAGGGCCTAAAGGGGCTCCAGGAGAGCTGGAGAGGGACTGGGGACAAGGCATGGAGGGACAGGACACAGGGAATGGCTTCCCACTGCCAGAGTTAGATGGGAGATTGGGAAGGAATTCTTGGCTGGGAGGGTGGGGAGGCCCTGGCCCAGGTTGCCCAGAGAAGCTGTGGCTGCCCCTGGATCCCTGGAAGTGTCCAAGACCAGGCTGGAGCAACCTGGGCTGGTGGGAGGTGTCCCTGCCCATGGCAGGGGATTGGAAACTGAGAGTCTTTTAAGGTTTCTTCCCACCCAAACCATTCTGGGATTCTCCAAAAAAGAAGAGCAATTATATCATCCCCAAAGCAGGGGGGGGAACTGGGCACTTGATTGTTTTCCTCAGTGAACTAAAGCTGTGATTTCTGCTGCACCAACTGTGTCCTTGGAACGAATCAACACTGAACAGCGTCTGAAAAAAGCAGATTGTCTGCACGGGAAAGCAGAGCCCCGGGCAGGGTGGTGCTCAAAGGGTTAACGAGCTGCTCCCTCCCGGCTTTGATGTATTCGGTGACATTTTTTTCTGGCCGATTTTTGGAGGGAATAGAGGAGCAATCCCGAGGATCCCAAGGCTCCCCTCACCACGGTGGCACCTCCCGGTCCTGCAGGGCGGGATGTGCAGTTCCAGGGCTCTGACGATGGGGAGCAGCAGATCCTTCTCTCAGCTCCTGAGGATGGGGAGCAGCAGATCCTTCTCTCAGCTCCTGAGGATGGAGAGCAGCAGATCCTTCTCTCAGCTCCTGAGGATGGAGAGCAGCAGATCCTTCTCTCAGCTCCTGAGGATGGAGAGCAGCAGATCCTTCTCTCAGCTCCTGAGGATGGGGAGCAGCAGATCCTTCTCTCAGCTCCTGAGGATGGGGAGCAGCAGATCCTTCTCTCAGCTCCTGAGGATGGGGAGCAGCAGATCCTTGGCTCTGAGATCCTGAGATCCTGCTCTCAGGAGTCTCTGAGGAGGAGGAAGAGCAGCCTCACCTCAATATTTCCCTTCGCTGTAACTTTGCTCTGCCTTTATTTCTTGGTGATCTCAGAGCTGCAAGGAATCAGTAAGGACGTTAAAAAAACACATCCTGGTTTCTTTGTGATGCTCAGTGAAAGCAGGAGGAGGAAAAAGTCAGTTTGTAAACCCAGCAGTGTAAAACCCCTTTAATTGGCAGCCTGATGAAAATAACCCTCATGCAAACACACCTCGAGGTTTGCCTCCAACTGGGAATGTAGGGTGTGTTTGTGGGCCCTTCTGGAAAGGTCTTGAGGGTTGGAAATTGTAAAACTGTTCTCCAAAGGGAAATTCCAGTCCTTTAAACAGGAGCTGTGGCATATCCAGCAGGTTTATTCCCCCCTCCTGCCCAGCACATGTCCCAGCTGGAAGTTGGCCATGGACATGCTGAGGGACAGGCAGCCTGTGGGGCCACCAGTGGCACGGGATCCATGGCATGGGGGGTTTGTGAGGAGCCTCTCCCCTGCCCTTTCCCATTTTTGGGGAAGCAGGATGTGCACAGCTCCATTCCCAACCATCCCTGGTGGATAACACCCATAAATGCTGTTCCAGGCCATAGGTGGGTGTGTCTCAGGTGGATGGCCCAGCGTGGGCACCTCGCCCTGCCTGCAGAGATGGCTCAGCAGGACAGCTCAGGGGGGAATCACCCCCTGTCTGCAGCAATTCCCAACATTCCCACTGCTAAGGCTCTGGGCTAAGAGCCCCTTCCCGGGGGGTTCCCATCCCACCATGGGACAGAGAGCCCAGGGAATTGTGCCTGGGAAGGTTGTCCAGGAGCAGAGAACCCAAACCGTGGGAGCTGCAATGGGAGTGATGGGGAGGCAGAGGGAGCTGCCCCTGGGCAGGCAGGGATTGTGCCAGCCCTGGGGGGGCACTGCTGCCACGAGAGCCATGCAAGGGGGCTTTGGGATGAGCCTCTCCCCTGGCCTTGCCCGCTTTCTGGAGAGCAGGATGTGCCCAGCTCCATTCCCAACCCTCCCCCGGGGTGCAGGGGAGCCAAGGGGAGGAGGAGGAGCTGCCCGTCCCTCCCACTGCCCCCTGCTCTGGGACAGGGATGTTCATCCTCTGGGATCCCCCGGAGCCCACAGGGACACCCCTGGCACTCAGAACCCCCTCCCAGGAGCTGGAGGGTGAATGGCCAAGAGAGCTGGAGCAGAGAGGGGGAGCTGAGGGGAACAGCAGGCAAGGTCCTTTTGGGAATTCCAATGGATTTGCAGGCTTGAAATCGTGTCTCCATTCCCACCTTAGTACCACCCCTTAGCCCCTCCCAAAGAAACAAACCCATATATCAATATCTCTATAAAACAGAGATATTTTCTCCCTCTATAAATGGCTCTGTATGGGAAGGGAGAGAGAATGAGAAGGAAGAGGAGAAAGAAAAACCCACGGATGAGGATCCAGCCCAACGTGCACATGAAGCACATACCTGTCCCACCAACCCCTCTGGATGAACCTTTGGTCTGACCCAGTATGGTCATTATTATGCTTTAATAACCTTTAATTAATATTTCCTGGGAGTTTTCATCAGCTTCTGATGATTTAATCACGTTTAGATAATATTCCCTAGGAATTCCCAGCAGCTGACACGGGCTGGGGAAGGACATGGGAACAGCTGGATGACCGTGCTCAGTCTCCCAGAGTTTTAGAAGATGTTGAGGATGATAATTTCATGAATAACAAATTATTTGAACATCGGGAGTTCTTCCTGTGCCGTGCAAAACGGGTTTAGACAGCAGAGTTAACCAGCTGGTGACACTGGGAAAGGGAAAGGAGCACTCAGGTGTTCAGGAAGCACCAGGAATCCAGGAAGAGGATTTTACAGAGAGGGTGCTGAGCCATTGGAATGGGCTGCCCAGGGAAGGGGGGGATTCTCCGTCCCTGGAGGTGTTTAAGGACAGACTGGATGTGGCATCAGTGCCATGGGCTGGGAACCACGGCGGGGTTGGATCAAGGGTTGGACTGGATGATCTCAGAGGTCCCTTCCAACTCAGCTGATTCTGGGATTCTGTGATTCTCTGAGTCTATGATTCTGTGATTCTGTGATTCTGTGATTCCATGATGTTGATTTGCACAGCTCTGATTTTCTGTGGGAGCGAACGTGCATTTCGGAGCATCCCTTTGGAAAGGGAGAACGCAGCAGGTTTGGGGTGATGCTGCAGTGGAGACACGTTGGAGTGAAGAAAAGGATGTGGGCAAAGGAGTAAATAACCCATTTTGGCAGGAAATTATATTTTTTGGGGGGCGGGGAGGGGAAGAGGGTTTTCCTGGAGTCTGGTCGGGAAAAGTTCTCCTGGTTTTTCCTTCTTGTAAATCCCAGACTGGTTTGGGTTGGAAGGGACCTTAAAGACCATCTTGTTCCAACTCCCTGCCACAGGCAGGGATGCCAATAAGTGGCAATTAGTGCTAATTAGGATGCCAGTTGTGATAAATAAAATAAGCAAAAGCTGCTGCAGAACCGATTTCCTGAATGAGCACAAATCCACTGTGAAGGCAGAGCAGTTGCATTCCTGCAGGAATTCTGAAATTTAGGGTTTCCATCTCCTTCCCCCACTAAAATTTCATGTTGAATACCCAGTTATTACATTTTAACAAATTCCTGTGTGTCTCCTTTCCGCAGGAGGAAAGGGCCAGCACCTTGCTTTTCATGGAATCAATCATGGAATATCCTGAGTTGGGAGAGACCCAAAAGGACCATCCAGTCCAACCCAACCACTTTCTGGGGGAAGAGCCTTTCCCTGATTTCCAGCCTGACCCTCCCCTGACACAGCTCCAGCCATTAAAGCTTCCCCACAGCTGAGCTGGAATTGCAGGAAGAGAGGGATGACCGTGGTTGGTTCCTGGGAAAAAGGAGCTCTGGGTGAGTCACACAAAAACCTGAATTTTTTTACTCTCTTGGATGCTCAGTTGTTGCTTTATATCCTTCCTGTCGTGCCAATGCTGGAAATGTTTGGGCTTTAATTATTTCCTTGCTGGAATAAAAGGTTGAGGGGGAAGAAAAGCAGCTCCTGAAGAAGGAGTGGGAAGGATTTTGGCAGGAGGAAAGGGAAGAGGAGGAAAAGTTCCTGCCTGCTTAGAAAGGAATGATGTGAGCAATTACCACTCTGGTGGCAACGGGGTGATGGCAAACGAGAAAATCTGGGCTGAAATATCCTCAGCAAATGCATCTTTCAGGGATGGGACCTTCTCCAAGAAGCGTTTTTAACCGAGTAGTTTTTATGGAAGCAGTTTTATCTTTGGGATAAAAACCCACGCCGAGCGTTTCCCAGCAGAAACGCGGAGAGTGTTCAAACCCCACCGAGCCAATTTGCTGGAAATCTCAATTATTTTCCCCTTTGTGGGTTAGAAAGTCAGCCCGGGGTCTGCTCTTAATGCCTGGAAAAGTCAACGGGAGGTTTTCCCATTAATTCTCCGGAGGGCTGGATCCCTCTGGTGCTCGACTGCAAAGCCCTTAAGCTTTTGCTGGTTTTTGTGAGATTTGCATAGTGGGAAATTGGAGCCCGGGAGTTCCAGGAGGTCGGGGCTAATTTGGGGGAGAAATGAGATATCCAAGCACAGCCTAAAAATCCAATCTAACTGGAAGTAGTGCCAGGGAAGTGCCTGGTTTCAGTCCAGGTTTACATTGCACAGTGATCCTAAAAAGCGATTTAGGACAAAAAAGCTCTGCCTTTGTGTGGGTTGAGCGGTTATAGGATGTTTTCAGGGGGAATTTTTTAATGGAAAGGGTGGTCAGGCCTTGGCAGGGGCTGATTTTTTTGGGTGCTCCGCCTTTAAGTCACCCTGTGGAAAAAAAAATCTGCAGGAAAACCGGCAAAGGCAAATAAAAGAAAAGCAGAGTGGGAATTAATTACCTGTTTCTAAAGTGTGGCAAAGTTAAATATTGAAAAGGCTGAATATTTAAGTGCAGATAGGATAAACACTAACTATTAATGCAGGAAAAAAGCATTAAAATTCCATTAGATGCCTGACATTTTTCCTATACCTGTTTGAAGAAAACTCTCCCTTGATCCCAATCCTAGTGGGAACAACCACTTTCATTGTTTGATTTCCACCTCAAAGGAGTCTCTACATCAAAGGTCAAAATCATCAATAGTTAACCAAACTAATTAATTAGCTCTCAGGATCACTGCTAGAGCCCAATTTTAACATCATTTTCCTTTAATTCCCCTCATGTCCACCGAGTTGATAAACTTTTTTACAAGTTTCTGTGTTCTAGAAATTTAATTGCGCTTTTATTGTTGTGTTTGGAGTTAATTACACAGCCAACCAGGTTTATCTCTTAGATATTAAATCTAGCAAGTGCTCTTTGAACAATCAATTGATATTTAATTACAACAGAGAAGCTGCCCTATTAAATCTAAATTAAATGCTCATCGAAGACTATTAAAGTGTTACCAGACCATCAAACAGCAAATGCAATACAATGAAACATAAACCCTGATGGGGTTGGTTTTCCAGGCCTGCTTTGGAAACCTGAGCAGAAAAAGTGACCTCAGATGCCATTTCCCTCCCTTTTTGGTGAATTCCTTGGCAAAGTTCCCTTCACAAAGGCAATTTTACTTCACGAGGAGTGACAACAACACGGGGCCTTTTTTGTACCTTCCAGCCTGATTGGAAGAGTTTAGACCAAAGGATTCAGGAGAAGGTCGGGAGAGGAGCATGGAAAAGGCAGGAGACACTTCAGCAGGGATAATCATGGAATCCCAGGATGGTTTGGGTTGGAAGGGACCTTAAAGAGCATCTCATTCCACCCCTGCCATGGGCAGGGACACCTTCCACTGGCCCAGGTTGCTCCAACCTGGCCTTGGACACTTCCAGGGATCCAGGGGCAGCCACAGCTTCTCTGGGAATTCTATTCCAGGGCCTGCCCACCCTCCCAGCCAGGAATTCCTTCCCAATATCCCATCTAACTCTGGCAGTGGGAAGCCATTCCCTTGTCCTGTCCCTCCAGGCCTTGTCCCCAGTCCCTCTCCAGCTCTCCTGGAGCCCCTTTAGGCCCTGCCAGGGGCTCTCAGCTCTCCCTGGAGCCTTCTCTTCTCCAGGGGAACCCCCCCAGCTCTCCCAGCCTGGCTCCACCCTTGAAGCATCTCCAGGGCCTCCTCTGGCCTCCTCCAGCAGCTCCACTGCTGTGCTATTTTGGGACCCCGAGCTGGCTGCAGGGCTCAATCCTGTTATTCCTTCATCCTTTGTGAGCCCACAAGCTCCCAGAACATCTGGCTGAGCAGAGCAATGTCCCCCAGAGCAGTAACTGGGTTTTCCAATATCCCAGCTCCTTTGGCTGAGCCTGTTTTCCACCTCTGCCCTCGGGAGTGGAACCTGCCTTATCTCCAACCTCTCCATGTTCAGGTGGAGCAGGATCCTTCCTCTTCCTTGAGGAAATAAATACCTGCTGACCACTGACAAAGCAAGGACAGCAAAGCCAAGGGATTCTCAGGGACAGAAATTTGAAGTATTTATTTTGATTAAAGGGTCACCACGTTGAAAGCAGGAAGATTTATTTTTCCTTTTGAGATTCTACAGAAATTCTACAGAAATTCTACAGAAAATCTTAAGAAATTCTACAGAAATTCTAAAGAAAATAGTGCTTAAATGAAGGAGCCAAGAGGGGTTTTTTTTTTGGGGGGGGGGGGGTTGTCTGAAAGGCATTTAAGTGACTCTCTTGTTTCATTTTGAAAGAGGAACTTCCATTACTCAAGGAAAGCCATTACTCTGATGAGTTCTGGGTCATCCATCAGTCACTCCCCTAATGCATCATCCATATTCATACCCAACCTTCTTAGAAGAGTGATGTTAATTTGGGTTTCCCTTGACTTGTTTTCCATCTTCATTTACCTGCACACTCTGAGCTTCCAGCCTGAGATAAGTGGAGATTTGTTTGATGATTTTCCCTGGGTCAATTAGGAGTGGATCAAGCAGCAGACAGTTGGGAACACGCTCCGGGAAGGCTTTTGCCTTCCAGCAAATGGGAAATTAGACATGGGCACCTGCCAAGCTCAGCCCTTTGGACCTTCCAGAGCCCGTGGCAGAGATGTAAACATCCAGTTTCAGGTGTATTTACACTCAAAATGCGTTTGGTTACAGCAGAATCTCATGATCAGCTGCAGGTATAATATTGACGTGTTATAAAAACAGGAAAAGAAAATTTATAGTTCCCGATTTTTCCCCTCTCATCTCCTGTTCTGAGGCCAAGGTGTTGTCCCATCCCTTCAGGCTGTGCCAGGGGAGGCTCAGGTGGGACAGGAGGAGGAATTTCCTCCTGGAAAGGGTGGTGAGGCCTTGGCAGGGGCTGCCCAGGGAGGTTTGGAGTGCCCAGCCCTGGAGGTGTCCCAGGAAGGCCTGGCCATGGCACTCAGTGCTCTGGGCTGGGGGACAAGGTGGGCATCGGGCACAGGGGGGATCCATGGGCTGGGAGGGCTTTTCCAGCCTCAGGGATCCTGGGATTCAGTGGCTTCAGGGCTCACAACCCCACAACCAATCAGTGTTTTGGCTCCTCGTTGCTCTGCCACCTCCCTGCTGGGCGAGGCTCAAACAGCCCCTGTCCCCCTGGGCCTCTTTCCCTTTGGTCCCAGATCCATCCCCTGGGCAGAGACAGTGGTTTGGATGCTCTGAGTTGGGACCTTGAGGAGCTGAACAACTTCCCTTTGCAGTCCAGTATTCCTTCTCCTTTTCCTTCCCGTGGAAGAACAAACCGGACGATTCCTTTGCCGGGGTGAGAGCGAAAAACGCTCTTTTTGCCCAGCAGGATGAGGGGGGGGAGAAACCCTTTGAGCAGAGCAAGAACAAACTCTGCTCCTTGCAAGAGCATCCAGGGGGGGTTTGCTGTGCCAGCTCAGGAGCCAGATCTTTGACAGGAATGTGTGAGGAGGGATTTCCACGTTTAGAAGTCGGGAGGGAATGGATTCAGCCGGTGATTCCCTTTCCTTCCAACAGCACAGGTTTTTTCCCAGCAGATTCAGGGAATGTGCTGCTGCATTTCCTCCTCTCAGCTGGGGGCCTTGTCCAGGAGACCTGGGTTGTCTTTGGGCAGTGGTAATTCTCAAATCCTTTTTTTTTTATTTTGCTTTTTTTTTTTACTGAGAAATAACATCCTTGGTTTTAGGCAGCTCTAGAAAATTATTTCCAAGCTTCCACCCACTGCCTGCCCTGCCATGTTTGGGGGCCAGCTTAGGTTTTTCACCATGAATAAGGGATCACTGAGTGTGATTCCCACCACTGGAATAAACCCCTATTTTTCAACCACAGCAGTACCAGCAGAACCCAAAGATGCAAAATTTTGATTACAGGTTTCTCAAGTCCTGAGTGTTTTTCCTTTATGACTCTCAACTCAAAGGAAAGTCTCAGCAGTTTTTGGAGAACTGATGAGTCTTGTGGCCCTGTTTTATTTCCCTCATCTCCTGCCAGAGAGATGGATCTGATCTTTAATTATTACCTAAAGTGCTTTGCAAATTCACTGGAGCAATTCCAGTGTGAACACAACTGTCTGGGCTGGCTCCTTCCTGTAGTGGTGGAACAACAGGAATGCTTTAAGCTGGGAAAGTAGGTTTAGATGGGATATTGGGAAGGAATTCCTGGCTGGGAGGGTGAGGAGGGACTGAGAAGAAATTCCCAGAGAAGCTGTGGCTGCCCCTGGATCCCTGGAAGTGTCCAAGGCCAGGTTGGAGCAACCTGGGCTAGTGGAAGATGTCCCTGCCCATGGCAGGGGTGGGGCTGGATGGGCTTTAAAGTCCCTTCCAACCCAAATTGTTCCATGATTTCTGGCCATGGTGTTTCTTGTGCCATCCCAGAATTTGCTCCTCTCAGGGCAGAGCAAATTTGACAATAGTTTAATAATTCCACCAATGTTTGAAGTAAGAGAAACAA